AGAATAAACATATCAGTTCATGAAACTAGATCACACACTTTTGAACGTAATAATATGAAAACATATATTATTGCCTATCTAATTATATGAATAGTGTGTATATTTTTACATTAATAATTAATTAAATTAAAATAAAGATTAAAATTGTATTATAAGAAAGCGAATAAAATAAAATCTGACAGTTGACTAAAAGATAAACACAAAAGAAGGCTTAATAAAAAATCATGTGTTTTCCCCCTTAATTGGTTATTTAGTCCTCAAGTTAAGAGTTGAATTTCCATTTAGTATCCGGTTTTAAAAATAAAGACATTAAATTTTCAAGTTACGAAAATTGTGTAAATTAAGTCATGTCCGTTAGTGTGGTAGCAACAACGTTAAAGGTTAAAAGATGTGGCAAATTATTTATCCAACGTGGGCAAATGCACATATTTAGGTTTAGCCAGGTATGAAAATGTCCTTTTTATTTGGAAGAACCAAATGCATACAGATTTGGCCCAGCATTTTAATCTCCAACGAGCTTAGGGGAAGGAGGTGATTTGAAGGTTTGGAGCTAAGGTGGGGTGCCCTAAGTTGTTCGTCTTAACTCAGTCTGTGAAGTTCGTTGTTTCTGAGGTGGGTGTCCTAAGTTGAGTGGTTGGGATTGAGGTGGTTTTGTAGGTGTCAAGGAAGCAATATTGTGTGGTTGGTGGAGGCAATGTCAATGAATCAATGCTTGTCTTGCTCATGGGGGACCTCACGTGGTGGTTCATCAGGAGGAATGGTTGGCAGCCAAATATGCTACTATGGAGAGCTTGTTGTATTAAGAGTCGCAAAAACTGTAAAGAATCAAGGGAAGCATTTTTGGGGTGCCCTAATTACAAGGTATTTTTTGTACGTTGTGTTTTGATTTTTTGGGTACATTAGTTCGGTTTATCCTGAGATTTTTTCGGTTGGATGTTTTGAACAGCGGAGTCGAAACGAGGAAGTGCGAGGATGTAATTTCTTCAAATGGCGCACTGAAGATTACATAGATGAAAGCGATAGTACAATTGGATGGCAAAGCAGGACGATAATTTGTTTGGAAAAATCACTTGTGGTTTGTCAGAGAAGGGAGAAGGGAGAAGGTGTTGTTGGGGTTTTTATGTTTGATGGGGTTGATTAACATCATCTTTGTATGTATTTTGTTTTAATTTTGTTCTAGTGGTTTTTGATGGGGTTATAATGTAATGTTTGTTAGTTAATGAAGATTGTGGTTGTAATGACATTGTTCGTGTAATGAGATTTTGTTTCTGTTATTGTTCAAGTGAATGTTATGTAATTTACATTGCCCAGTCATTGACAACCAGTGAATGAACATCACATAAAATTATATACTTCCTTTATTTTTCATCAACATAAAGGTATACAAACCATCAATATTAATACTGTTTTGAAAGCATCAATATTGACAAGGTCTACAAAGTCATTAAACATCACATAAGAAGGTGCCAAAGCATCAATTTTAACAACATGGCAAACATTGCAGGTTATAGTTTTAGAAGATAAAACATCAGAATTGTTCCAAAATGATATCATATTAATGATTAAAGATCACTTAAGAAATTACATCATAGATCATCCATAATGCATGACATCCAAAATATAGTTATATAGTGCAAAATACATCACATCCAAAATAATATTGAAAGTCAAACATGACCTAAATATGTCTTAGCAAAACTACTTAAAGTTGAAATTACATATCCAAAATACAAGTCAAAGTTGAACAATTTTTAAAGTGTTGTTGTAGAGTGATCGGTTAGGGGTTCTTCAGTAACTTGACTTGGTTGAGTGGGTTGTGGTATAGCTTGGCGGTCTTCTTCTTGAGTAATCTGACTTGCTTGAGTGGGTACTGGTGTAGCTTCCCGGTGTTGTTGTTCAGTTGGTTGAATGGAGTGTGGTGTTGCTTGCTGGTGTTGTGCTTGAGGGCAATTAGTTCTTCTATGCCCTAGTTGTCTACAAATGTCACATCTCTTTGGGATTCCAGTTTGGCCAAGTTGTGTATCATCCCTTATTTGCTCCCAACTCTCCAGTCTTCTTTTTTTTCTTGGTCTACCTGGCAACACCCTTTTCGGAGGAGGCAAAACATCAACATATGAAGTCATTTCCCATAGTTCAGGTCCATTGACAGGGAAAATTAATGGAATGTAGGTTTCTTCATAAGTTGAGGTTCTAAACCAAATTGGGATGTAGTCTTCTGCATTGATGATTAAAAACCTCATGGCAGTCAGTGCATGACAATAAGGTATTCCTGTTACAGTTCACTTCCTACAGCTACAATCTCTTTTCTCTACATCAACCACAAACTTTTCAGCAATATTGGAAGTATGGATGATCTCAAAAACTTGCATACCTGACCAACTGCCAAAGTACCTTGGACCTTTTCGCTTCGAACAACAATCACTGCAACGTCAATCCTTTTCGCTAAACAATCTCCTTCACTAACCCTTTTCGGTCAACAATGTCCTTCCACACCGTCAACCCTTCCACACCTTCAATCCTTCGAGAACGTCAAAAATCCTCAATCTATGACCTCACTTCTCTAATCTTTTCATTTGAAGATAAAGAAATCCTAGATTTTAATTTCCCCAATTTGATACGAGATTTTTTTACTTTCCCCTACCACGTTATTTTTCCTTTTCCTTACCACATCAAGTAACCTACCACAAGTCATTGTCACGACCACATTTCTTGCACACCTCACATCTACACTCAGGTCAACATTTTTAAGTTTAACATCGTTAAACGATAAACTTAATTTACACAATTTTCATAATTTCATAATCTAATGTCTTCAATTTTTAAATTGAATATAAAATAGAAATTTAGCTCTTAACTTGAAAATTAAATAAGCCTAAAACAAAAAGAAAGTTAGGAATAAGATCACTGTAGGTTTACCACATGTCAGAAACGACAACTTGCGGGACCACTTTACTTTCTTCCAATATTTTTTAGAAATTAAATAAGAATACAGAGAAACAGATTTGCGTGTAAAATGAACTAGTTTTCAATTTAATTTTTTAAATTATTTTTCTAATATCTAAAGTTAGTATTTTGTAATCATATGAAACATAAAAGTTTTAATTTTAGTGTAT